TTTAAACTCTGCAATTAAAGCAACTCACAACATTCTTTCCTAGTTCCTCAAAGGGCCTGATCCAGGTCAGTGTGGTGAAGCATAATGGCAAGGAATGTATTGATTCTGGGTAAATAACACTGTCAGAAAAACTGTTTGTTTCTATTTGGTGGTTTACTCTGGCCAAACACACTGGCCTCTGAGTCTGGAAATGGGTGGAATTGCAGGGAGACCCAATGAGACTCGACCAGTGCTGAATTGTGGGTACTGAGCTGCATAATAGATGGGGACTGTGCCCATAAATTCTCCAAGAGCCAGTAAAAATTTCTGCAAATGCCGCCAGTTTAAAGACTTACTGAGGATGTGTGCTTGTGTGTAATATTAGGTATCCGTTCACATAATGTGATGTGGTTTTTTAAAAATGCATCCAGCCTTGCTGATTCATTAAAACGAAGAAAGAAAAATAGAATTAAACAAAGGATTGTTGTTGCAGTGGATTAGACTGGAGGGAAATTATGCATGAAGAAAAAGTTACTGAAAGAAAACAGAATTCAGCCTGCCTGCTGCCTATTAACCAATGAATGACTTAAATGAACACACATTGCTAAAAATACACTGCTGAATAATATAGCTATCCACCCAGTGCTAAAAATGTAGCCAGACATGGATCTGTTTGTGCTCTGAATGTTCCATTTTTATAGTACTGTCCACTGTTTGTATCCAAACAACCCACAGCAGTGGTGTTACAGAATACATCATTGAATTGCCTCAGTAAATGGCTCTTTACATGGACATCAGTAATCAAATTATTGGCCTTAATCTGAAGAAGACAAAAATATGATTAAGGTGTTTACATAATTGCGTTTTACATGTTATAGCACATAGATTGATTAACGTCATTGTCACCGCACTATCCACGTTTCGTCCAGAGTTTCATGCAATTTCTGGTGTTTAATTTTTAATTTGCTGTTTGGCACTTTCACGTTCTTTCAGGAACATTTCATGCATGCCCCCCTGATATTGGATGCGAGTATGAACTGCTGGAAGTGTTGTTTGAAGGGTACTTGATAGTGCATGCTGTATGGGAAAAAAGCCTCTGCATTTAGCAGTGCTGGTGTCTGTGGTCCTTCACTGACTCGGTAGGTGCAGAGAATAGTGTCAAACAGCTGTTTGTGTATAGATTATCCTGTTGCAAAATGCGACCAACATGACGGTAATAGTGTGATTGCGGTGATTACATGCCTGTACCGCACTTCAATAATGCGACTATAAAATCGTCATAAAATAATAAAAAAATAAATAAATAAATAGACAAATAAACAAACAAATAAACAAACAAACAAACAAACAAACAAATAAATAAATAAATTAATTAATTAATAAATAAATTTATTTATTTAAACATGCATTAATTTGATTTCTAATTAGTCTGTTTATGACCTTAATCGGATTAAGTTAGTCAAAAAAGTTTACATGGTAGACTCCTAATCAGAGTATTGTCTTAATCATATTAATATTAAATTATTGTTGTCCATGTAAACGTACTCACACTCAAAAAAAAAAAAAAGTTTGTTGTTTGTTTAAACTTCTTATTTAAAATTAGCTAAAACACTGCATTTTTTTTGGGACAACTTAATTGTTTTATGTTCAATACACTCTATAAGTAAGACGTTAATTTAAATCTTTTGCGTTATCATAACACAAATCCACCAGCATTTTATTTTACAGTGCATAAAGACTACTTCTGTTCTTGAATGAATCAGTGTGCTTACCCAAAAATAAAAATGTACTCACTATTTGCTCACCCACAAGTGGTGACCTTTATGAGTTTTCCTTTCCTGTTGAACTCAAAATAATATATTTTGAAGAATGTTGAACACCAGTTATTGATATCCATAGTAGAAAATAAAAACACTGTATAATTCAAAGTTTAAAAACATTTTCGAAATTCCTTATTTGTGTTCAACAGAAAACAGAAAATCAAACATGTTTGGGGGTAAAAGATGACATAAGTGTCTTTTTTTTTGGTGAACAATTCTTTACTTATAAACTAAAAATGTATTTATTGAAAATTTGTATACAATTTTTTTTAGAAGTCTTATTTTTTATTATTACAAAGATATACTACGTGAAGTTTATTCATAAACTAATTTCGAGAGGATCACGTGCTTATGATTTATCACGTCCAGTCTCGCATTTGCTAATCACTAATCTTCCAATCATATGAGCCCTAAGGCACCATAAATAGTCTAAGTTTTCAGTTCACTTTATCTTCGTTTGGAAGAAACCCCCCTCCTCCCCTATTCTCCTCCTTTACCTGCAATTGGGCGGCACGGCGGTCCAGTGGTTAGCACTGTGAACCACACAGCAAGAATACTGCCGGTCCTAGTTCGATAGGACCGGTGAGTGTTTCTGTGGGGAGTTTGTATGTCCTTCCCGTGTCCGCGTGGGTTTTCCCCGGGTTCTCCGGTTTCCTCCCACCATCCAAAGACATTCAAGATACTTAACAATCAAGCTTGTCTAATTCCTTACGTTCCCTTAGCTACAGCGGCAGGGGAGTTCTGAGATCCACCGAGCTCAGGCTCCCTTCTTGCTCTGCCAACGGGAGGAAGCCCCGGGCTCGAGGAGCCCTTGAGCTCGGGGCTCTCTCCCGGGACAGCATGCCAAATAAGCTTTGTAAATCATCAGCTAAGTGTGAACTCTTGAATATTTTTTTTTAATATATCCACGCCTTTAGAAAAATAATAGTTTTTCTTTGGCTTAGTCCCTTATTTATCAGGGGTCGCTATAGTGGAATGAACCACCAACTATTCTGGCACATGTTTTACACAGCGGATGCCCTTCCAGCCGCAACCCAGTACTGGGAAACACACTCATACACTATGGCCGAAAAGGTTTATTCAGTTTGCCTATAGCGCATTTCTTTGGACTGTGGAAGAAACCGGAGCACCCGGAGGAAACCCACACCAACATGGGGAGAACATGCAGACTCCACACAGAAATGCCAACTGGCCTAGCCAGAACTCGAACCAGCAACCTTCTTGCTGTGAGGCAACAGTGCTAACCACTGAGCCTCCAAGAAGAACATTTTATCCAAAAAAATTAAATGCACAGATAAATTAAATCTTAGGTGATAATTTGCATGATAAAGGAACAAAAGATCTTTAGAGACAAGTTGAAGATATGTGGAAACAATACATTTTTCTGACTTTTTCTCCACTTTTACCAATTAATTGTTTTAGGTGCTCCACTAAAAAAGCACACACACACATATACGCACATACAAATCGACAATCAAGAGTTCTGGATAGTTTTGGGTGCTGAAAGACAGAATTAGTATTCCCAAAACCAATGATGAGAAGAAACGGCATTATTTCCTTTAAAGTCAATTCAAGGGGATGAATGAGCAGATAAAGTGATGACAGCAGTAAGAGGGATAGAGAGAGACAAATTAAAGAGAAAACAGATCTCAGAGACAGATGAGGAAATGTCTTCTGGAAATTGAGGGTTTATGCAAAAACAGATTAAAAAGTAAGTACAGTAAAAGGAAAGAACAGAATGAGAAAGATGATTCTTCTGCAATCATCACGTCCATTAAGATAATCAATGTAAACATACTCTTGAACCCTGAATCGCCACGGACCCTTTTCCCTCCAGCTTTCAAACACAATCAGTCCCTGTATAAACAGCAGCGAACAATGAGTCTTAATTGGCTGTGACATCATATTTCCTGCCTTAAAAATTCACTTGCTGACAAGAGGCTCAGCAGAATCTGACGAGGTAAAGGCACCAACACAAATATGTGGTTTATTTAAAAAGATAGCTCCTTTGTGTTTCAGTGGCGTCAGATGCTGTATATTTTTTACTGAACTATAACTATAATGAGCAACGTTCATTAATGTTTGATAAAGGTTATTTTTGCCACTCACGGTTACATGAAGAAACCTTTTTTAATCTATGGCTTCGTTTTTGAGGAAATGTATTCTTTAGATGTTTCAAATGTTTCTCAAACAAAGAAATGATTTGTTTTAAAAATGTTTTTTTTTTTTTTTTTTTTTTTTTTTTTTTTTAAGAAACCAAAATCATTGTACAATTCCCTGTTTGGAACCTTTATTTGGGACTTTTTTTTATATATATTTGGGAATATATTATATTATATTATATTATAATATATTATATTATATTATATTATATTACATTATATTATATTATATTATATTATATTATATTATATTATATTATATTATATTATATTATATTATATTATTAATAATATTATATAATATTTTTATATTTTGCATATTGTATATTTATACAGTAATATATTTTTTGTAAATATTACTAGTCAAATGGTTAAATGCATGCCAGCCATTATTGCTTAGAATACGTCAAAAGCATCCAAACACATTCCAATGGAAGAAACCCGGTGCAATAAGACACAATACGGCCCAAGACGTGTTTGGTTCGATTTGTTGTTATTTTCAGACCATCGCAATCCTAATTTTCACATTTTGCACCATGTTGTTTAAATAGCACATCCATTTCTGCCACTGTGTGGACCCATGGGTGTTCTGGTATAAAATAGGCGTATGCAAGGCGCATTGTTGACGTGTTGCTATTTTGAAAAACTGAAATAGACCGCACCACTGACAACCTAAAAGCAGGTCTAAAGTCCAGCGCAATGCTTACACATTGCTTAATACACACAGGATGTACAGCAATACACAAATATCTTTACATATGAAAAAAATAAAGGATTAAAATGTTACAAATGTATCATTTTCTACATACATATAAAAACCACTGCCTCCATGCCTCATATCGGGGAGCTTTTTCAGTTTATTCATGACAATTTGCATTTGTATAATGTTATAATTATTAGCAGTGTTATTTATTATTTGCAGCTTTATATTTGTTTAAATAAAAACAAGTTTAGATTTGTCCAACTGTCAGGTTTTGAGACATATGTGTCACTATATGGGGCATAAGAATAGGACGTGTTTTTGGAGAGATCTAGATCATTAAAATAGAACCTTAAATGTATATTACACATTTACTGTTTTGATGCTTGAAAACCTTTTCACCCATGACCCATAAGCTGTTTCACTGTTCTTGGACATGCTCCAAAGACACTAATAATAATTTGCCATTACTTTTTATGAAAAGATGATGTTTGCAAGAAGTCTTAACAGACCAGTGTGTACACATACACACACAACACTGCAAATGGGCATAATGAGTGTTAAGAACAAATCGTTGAGTTGCTCACCATTCTGAATGTCTTTCATATCTAAATGAAGACTGGACATCAGAATCCCCACCGCTTGAGAACGTTTGTTACTCAGAAGCTTGACTACCTAAAGAGAAAGAAAGAGGGCATATTTTGTGACTGCAGTAAACATACAGTTATTCAAAAGCAAGAGTTTACCCTGAATATTATTGCTGGTGACAAAAATACATAAACACAGTACTTCATCTGGCTGCCCTCATAAATTGAATAGCATGCAGAGGTACTTTGGCCTAATAAGGAAGCCAAAAACAAAGCCAAAGTATGTGTATTTATGACTGTTTCCTCATATGGTATTATGGAGAGGTCTCCTTCTCTCATTCTTTCATGCATAGCATCCACATATATCAAAATAACTTTACTTTCACCAATTTCTGGCACTGCAAAAGAACACCACAGTCATTATGCAAATGACAGACCTGTCTGGTTGAATTAAACCGGGTTGGATTATTACGCTTTCTGACAGCCTCTTCAAATCTGGCATTCCTAAACAAGTCTGAGTTGTCTTTGGATTCAAAGTATGTCTCACATACTCTGTATATATTTTCACTAATATGTTTTTTAAAAGCAAAACAATCCTCAAGCTTTCCCCTCTACTTGTTCTATGTAGGTGAGTACCATCAGGCTATTCTCATTCATATTCAGTATTGATCTTTATTCATCACCTATAATTAAGGGTGCGTGTCCACTGAAGCGTTTTTTGTGCTCCAGAAATGTGAGTGCTGTTCTAAAAACATCTGTGAGCACTTCTAAAGCTATCAGACCATTTAAAAACACTCAGCACTGAGCGTAAAATGCATGCTCAGTGCCTGGAAACGCTGCTGGCATTTTAAAAATGTGGCACTTCCATTGACAATAACAAAAAAAAAAAAAAAAAAAAAAAAAAATTTGGTGTTTCTGCAGTGCAAAAATGCATTGAATACCTAAATTCAGCTTTTGTTAAATCTTGTCTGCATGACAGCCAATTTGAATGTTATCATTCGATTGCATGGGCGTTATCAGTGGTTATCAGCTGATTTATACGGGCCAGTAGGGGGCTTCTGCACCTACTGGTATGCTCAAAAGTATGTTATTATCCATCCACATGGTTAATCAGTTTTAGATCACATACGGTTGCGGACGGAAGTTAACAACAATTATTTATATTATTTATTATTTCCCATTAATTTTATTTTATTAACATCTAACCCTACCCTAAATCCAACCGTCACATTATGTAAAAACATATCTGGATCTGGAGTTCTCTATTAGTACAGCTGATTAACCATGTGGATGGATGATAACAGCATCCTGAGCCTACCAGTAGGTGCAGAGGGCCCCTACTGGCCCATTTCTATCAGCTAATAACCACTGATAATTCCATTCAGTCATGTGATGGCATTCAAAGCGGGTGCAGTATGACATGGAATGTTTGAAGCTGTTTCTACATTATGATGCTAAATGTTGGATTGTGATACTGTAAGCCAACATTGCTTGACATTGCAGCCCACCATTATCAATGTAAAATGTATTCAAACAAACAAACAAACATCTATTCTTTTGAAAAGTGACATTGATGTATTTAACTAATGCTTGACTGCTGTTTCTGAGCTGAATAGTGTGTAAACCAACAACAGTACACTGACACAAACAGCTCTGCAAATAAAGAATGATGATCTGATTCTAAACACGAGTGAACTGATTTGGAGTTTGATGACAATAACCAAACCAAACAAACACAAATTACACATAAAAGTTACTTGCACATTTTAGACAAAGTGTAGGTACAGCTACATTTTTAAATGCAATTTTAATATGAACATGGCTTTGTACTCACTGAGGAAGTAAAAAAGTCTTGGGAAAAATATTTGCACATACAAGCAAGTATTTACAGTGGTCCCTCGTTATTCGCAGGAGTTAAGTTCTAAAAATAACGTGCAATGGGTGAAATCTGTAAAGAAGTCATCTTTATTTTTAACAATTATTATAGATGTTTTAAGGCTGTAACCCTCACTGCACACTGTACACTTTTCTCAAACAGGCATTAATTCAGTTTAACTTTTTGTGCAACGGTTAGAACAGGGATGGGCAAACTTGATCCTCAAGGGCCGGTGTCCCTGCAGAGTTTTGTTCCAACACTAGTCAAACACACCTGAACAAACTAATCAGTGTCTTCAAGATCACTTGAACTCTATAGGGAGGTCTGTTTGAATAGGGTTGGAGCTAAACTATGCAGGACACTAGCCCTCCAGGATCAAGTTTGCCCACACCTGGGTTAGAATCTACCTCTGCTCTTTGGGTGCTACCACTGGTGCCTTTGATGGTGCAGTATGTTTCGTTGACATTGTGGGGAGAAAACTTGCAAATATACAGTACAGCACCTCAGAGTCACAATGCTAGCGATTAAAGATTTATGTCAATTTGACACGCTGAATGCATTCTGTACTGTATAGGAGACACGGCACAAAGGAAATCGATTTACAATGGTCTACAGGCAGTCAGGACACAGAACACAATACACTGTAGAAAAAAAGCATGTCAAATTGCACAAAAAAATATTGGCGAAACTGCGAGGCCGCAAAAAGTTAACCGCGTTATAGTGACGGACCACTGTATTTACTCTTTCTGGGACATTTCCTTCATATTTAAAACTAATACATTTCGCTGTTGCCTCTTCTCATGCTGGGATTCTGTGTAAAGGTACCTGTGAGCCTCTACATCTGAACACTGAGCAGACTACATAGCAGTATTGCTTCATTGATAAAATGCAGAGAAACAAAAGGAACCATTATTAGCCACTTTGCTATCTGTTTACAAAAACGGGGTGCAAGGAGAATGGAGTCCATAGTTTGCTTAGAGTCGGGCATATGTAAAGGTGTATCTGGTAATGCAGGGCTTCTCAAAGTTTAGGCTCCGGTCTATATGTGGACAGTGAGGGTATTTAATATGGACTAGACTCCATTTTGTATTACAAGACAAGGACTCAAATTGTAGATTTCTTTTATTGATAAATGCACAAACCTTATAAAACAGTTGTTTAGTTGTTAAAAAAAAAAGAAAAAAAAGAAAATAGGCCGAAATAAAATCGAAGGGAAAATATTTAATGTTTTCCTGCGTGATTGTTGTCATGATATATAGAAATGATAAGTGGCTTCACGTGATCGAGCGGGCTAATTTTTGTTTAACACACCACAGCAAAGCAATTATTTGAATAGATCAAGATGTCGGTTTCAAGGAAAAGAAAACTTAATGAAGAGAATAGATAGTTCAAAGTTGAATGGACAGATAAGTATAAGTATGTTTTTATTTTTCCACAAGCCAGCACAAAGCTATTCTGGCGTGCGTTTCCCAAACAACGACATAACTCGTGGCTGAACTATCATAGTACGATGCATCGTTTGGGAAAAAAACGATGTAGTGACGAGTGTTTCCCAAAACCCGTAGTTTCTCTGTTGCAGATCCATGGATTGAACCACGTTAGTTATAACCAGGGCATGACATTAACTTTTTTGATCACCAGCCACTGTGGCTAGTAGATTTCCAACTTTACTAGCCACTCGCCATTTTCACTAGCCACACTTTTCTTGTTGGGAAAATATGTTTTATATACATACATTTGACTTTGACATGCTAAAATGACTTGATTGTGTTGTGTCCACATGCCTTCTCATTCAATTAACGTCTTGTGTGTGTTGTGTATTAGCTGGCTCAGTGTGCATGAGCAAATGGGTTGTGTCACAATACAATCAGTTTTTATTTTAAAATGACTTTTCAGGGCTCAAAATTAAGGATTTATCAAATTTATCTCTGAACACACCAAATAAGTATTTCTTAGCCACAAATTTTTTATGTTTTAAAACAAGGAAAATATAGCTTTATAGGTTCACTTTTTAATTCAACAAAACTTTTCTTTAAAAAACATTACATTTAAAAAATAATTATTGTCATAAATCTAAAATATGCACAGTAATCCGTCCTTGCCAAAAGTCCCAGATCACACGTTAACTACACATACACGGGGTAATCTCCCATTGAAGCAATGTTATTGTAAAAAATATATATAATTAAACCATATTAACAAAAATAACTGTAAGCGAAAGAAAGCAGGTGAAACATACCGTGTTTGATAATGAAAGGATGATCACGTGCACATGGTTAATTTAGGCCTTTTAATAATCTGTTCAATGAAAGCAGTGACCACTGCTTCTTACAAAAGAATGTGTATTTTTTTTATCTTGAGCTCTCGAAAGCAGCACGACTGTCTGTGGGTGCGCGATCATCGCTCTTTGTCCAGTCTATTTCAAAGGGAACAGATCGCAACAGTTGCGCTTCTTCTAGGCATGGTTGCTTTGCCTAAGTAAACAGTCGCGAGCATCACATCACATCACCTATGTACGTGAGTGATCATCCTCTCGTTCGGTATTTACCTTCTTTTTTGCTGTCCTGCTCGCGCGAACATAGTTATTTTTGTCAGTCGTGCTGCTTATCGATTCTAAGATCACATTTGCACGAATATTGGGCCATGCTTATTGTCGAACCCTGCTTTTAAGAAAACTACACTTTGTAGCAGATTTCCAACCAGCCAAAGTGGCTAGTGGAGGTGTCTGTCTAACCCGCAAGAGCTGAAATCTACCTGCATTTGGCAGGTGTTAATGTAAAGCCCTGCTATTGGGTCTACTTTTTGCTGTGTTTTGTACAAAAACACACCTATATTAGTAGTTTTGCCACATTTAAACTGTCACATTCAAATTTGTTTTTAATGCAAATGCCACTTTATTAAAAAAAAAATAGTGTTCACTCATGAAGCATGATATGGATGTTTCTTAAAAACAAGTTTTATTTGTAATAAACATGTATAAACTGGCGTTTCAAACTAGTCAATTATGGCATATAAACACATTTAGACAGTTCATAAAAAACAAGCTGCATCTTGTCAACTCATCTGAGCTGGCAGACACAACACAAACCTAACCAAACAAATACAGCTACAAAAGAGAAAAATTAATCCAATGTCACCTTTAAAACAATTAAGACATACTGTATTGTCTGTTGACCCAAGTGCTGTCTCACTTACTTTGTATGTATGTACAT